TGGAATGGGCATCCCTAACAATGCAGGACCCCGAGCCCCCGGCTGCCGGGGGGGTATCCCTGCCCCACGGCCCCCCACTACTCCCCCGGTCCCCCGCATCCCCGGCGCAGGGCTGGGAGCTGGGAACGTGCCATCTTCTCTCCATCTGCTCCTGATGACGCTGGCGGGTTTTTTGGCAGCGGGAGCCTCCTCCGGCAGCGAAAGCAGAACCAGTCTGGCTGCCTGGTGGGGCTGGAGACAAATAAACATGCCGGCAGCCGCCGCGGGCAGGCAGGAGCGGGCAGTGCTGGGGCAGGGATGGGCTCCCAGCACCCCGAAACGCCAGGATCCCTCCCGGAGGAGCGAGGGTGCGTGGGCAGGGGGGCTCGGTACCGGCCTCCCCGTCCCTGCTGCAGGCAGCTGCCGGGAAATGCGGGCGCAGGCAGGTTTAGCACCTTGGTTTCAGCTCCCCCCCACCCAGCACCTTGAAAAGCCCCTAATGAGCATGAAGTGCCCTTCAGAGCAGATTGCCATTGAACTCAACCTGCACCAGCCGCCCGCTTTAAAAGCAGCTATTTTGAGCTCCCGGGCTCCCAAGCGCTGGAACTAATAATTTATTACCAAATACGATCAGGCAGCAGCTCCAGCCCCTGGCAAATGGAGCGGAAAAAAACCCAGCGCGGCGGGAGAGCGAGGGAGCAGGGAGAGATGAGCATCCTGCATCCTCCCCCGGGACGGATCCGCACCCACCGCGCAGGACCTCGTCTCCTCCATCCTCCCTCTGGATGGGTCCCTGAGGAATTTGGGGTGGTGATGCTCCATGGTCCTCCAGCCTTTCCCCTCCTCTCAGTGCCTCGGCTCCCGCTCGGGAACCGCATCCAGCTGCACGCTCCGAGCGGGAACAGCTGCTTTGCATGGATTTTCAATGCTAATGGCCTCGCATTGTCAAGCCCCCCCTGCGCTGCCTGAATGCAGCAGGCAGGGCCCCAGCGGCTGCCTGTGCGGGCAGGAGGGAGGGCAGGCGGCCAGGGGCAGCGCGTGCCCGTCGTCCCCCTGCCACGCACCGTCACCCCCTTTAGAGCCAGCAGCCAGGGGACAGGCAGGGGACAGGCAGGGGACAGGCAGCGGGGACCACCTCCTCTCCCCGGTGATGACCCATCGAGCTGCCGCACATCTTCCACCCCTCATTAAAACAGCTCTGCCGCCGTACCTACAACACGCTCCATTAATGAATTAATTGATCGATCAGAGCCCGCGCTCCTGCCCTGCCGCCCCACCGCCTGCCACGCAGCCGAAACGAAGGGAGGTGGCCTGGCTTGGTGTCCCCAAGTGTCCCCAGGGATGGACAGATGCTGACGCAGCCTTTGCTCATTTTTGGGGTCCTCAGGGCAGAGCCCAAGACCCATCCCGGGAGCATCCCCCCCTCTTGGCCGGCTCCCCAGCACCCAGCCCACTGCCAGCCCCCTTGGAGGGGTCTGGATGGGTCCCCCGGGGTGAGGAGCACCTTGACACCTGGGGATGGGATTCAGGGCTCCCTGGGGAGCCCGGCACGGCCCCGAGCATCCAAACACGCCGCGCTATTAGCCGGCTGGGTCTCCATCAATCACTCCTCCATGGACCATTGATCTGGCAAATGACAACAAGCAAACTAATAAGAGCTCACAGCGCCAAGAAGAGGCCAGGGCCAGCACGGTGTGGGATTATTTTTCTCCCTTCCTTGCCTTCCCGTGCCCAGCCCAACCAGCCCCGGGTGCTTTTTAAGCCCGTAGGAAATTATTCCAGTGGAAGATTCACTTCAAAGCAACTTTCTTCCCTCTTTCTACCCTGGCAGAGCGAGCTGGGGGCTTCAAAAATAAAGTGCCTGTGTCCAAAGGATGCTGCTGGCCCCCAGGCCCCTCTCCACACCCGCTGCCCGGGTCCGGGTGCCAGCCATCTCTCGAGGCCCCCCCCGCCTTGGGAGAAGCGGGGTACAGACCCCACCCCTCCTCTTGGCATGAGCTGGGGGCTGAACGGCTATGTGGGGTGTGTGGGTGGGTGCCAGGCATCATGCAGCACCCCTGGGCACTGCACGGGGCTGCCAGGCATCGCACGGGACAGAGACAGGCATTGCATGGGGCTGCTGGGCATCACGTGGGGCTGCTGGGCACTGCACAGGGCTGCCAAGCATTGCACGGTGCTGCTGGGCACTGCATGGTGCTCCTGGGCACTGCACGGGGCTGCCAGGCATTGCATGGGGCTCCTGGGCACTGCATGGTGCTCCTGGGCACTGCACAGGGCTGCCAAACATTGCATGGGGCTGCTGGGCACTGCATGGTGCTCC